TTTCTATCACTGCTGTGAACTGACCACACAGAATATGAAGAATATAAAAAAATTCAGGAGTCAGCTGTCAACCCAATTAGAGATAAGATATCAGCACAATAACACACTCTATAGCAAAATATTGTCTAATTATCGTTATCGATAGAATCCAAGAAAATGATCGAGATATATATTTTTTTTATCAATATCGCACACCCCTAATTTCTGTTATTATAATAATTTACTGAAAATAATTGTTTAAATTAATATAATAATTAATACTTATTTTTATTATAATTTAGTTTATCATTTTATAAAACTTTGTGTTTTTGGGAAAACTTGTATCTGAACTGTAAATTATGCTTTTTACAGTAATTTTACAGTTTCATATGGTACTATAGACATTGCCCTACCCCGCTCATATGGTATGAATTTTATTTGTGCGGGTCTTAAAAAGGTCTTAAATTTGAGCTTAAAAATCCTGCAGAAACCCTGAATCCATACCACGTGTGTGTTTGTCAGAAAAAAATGTGTATCTGAGTGTGAGTGAGTGAATTTTAAGCAAATGGTCATTTTTGGTTGAACTATTCCTTTAAAATTTATTCACATTTACAAGCCAGTCTAGGCCATTTTACATTAACAGTTTACTCTTTATTTGTCAGGATACAAAAACAAAAAATTCAACTTAAAACTTATTTACACTTGATTAAGCTTGAAATATGATTTTAGCTGTTTCAACAGTCAAAAGACTCGAAACCCCTTCCAATTATTTGTGTTATTTATTGCAGATATGTATGGCTCTAACATTTAAATAATCACAGTTGTACACATTGTCACCATTATTCACATTGCATAAAGTAGGTTTCATTTTCTTTATGCAAAATACATTTTTTAATTCTTTTAATTTTGCGGTGAAATATTAGCTGGGCATGTACTGACAGGTTGCACAATATTTATTATGAGTATGAGTAAATTTATGTCCATAATTGTGTGAGAAAAAAAAAAGTATTTTATGTGGCTGCACTTTAAATAATGCACTTCTTTTAGCTTAGCTAATTTAACACTACATGAAGTATATTCTCTAATGCACATATGACATTCTCTTATGCATCCTGTGTGACCAAACAATCTGTGTCAGTCCAACACGGGTTTGTGTATCTGGAGTGTGATGCAGACGGACAGTATAGCAAACAGAAGAATGCCAGCGAATGTCTATCACATGACCCCACACAAATCAACATGGTATGTGAGAAACACCGCAACTCTTTTGAGGCTAGATGAATAGGTGATAGTTATATTAAATATCTGTTAACTCTTAAACGTGTTAAAGATGAATGATGTTCATTTCTGCACCACTAAGAGCTAGAATACACTAAACGACTTTTAAAATCTGAAAAGAGATTCCCTTGAAAGTTAAAATATCAAACATGTTTGTTTTCTGTGAAATCTGCAGACTTCTGGCAACTAGTGTCGATCTGCCAAAACTGCAAATAGAGCTAAACCGTCATGTAGTGTATTCCAGCCTTAATACAGAGTTAATTTTTTACTCATTTGTTTTTCTTTTAAAATATTTTTTTTTAAATATAGTCACTATTTCATGGTGTGATATTTATTCGGATGTCATTTGGCCAGCAAAAATCACAAACGTGAAATAACAAAAATGTGTCAAACTGTAACAGACAATACTTGAGAAAAATTTTCAAAAATGTTTGAAAAAAGTCGAATTATGTTTAAATGTTTATCAAACATAGTGTAGAAAACATTTATCCATATACATTTTAACCTGTAAGATCCTAATATAATAGCACTATAAGTAAACTAAAATATTAATAGAATTACAGTCTGTGGTCAATGGATTGTACTGTTGTTTAACTTCATACCGATTGTTCAGCTGACAAAACCAACACGTTCTCACTCCCAACTCGTCACATATTGACCCTTGGTCAGGACCTCTTGTCGTCGCTTTTTTTCAATTTTAATTTGGGTAATTTTATATAAATTTATACTTTTATTGGCGCACGTAACCGCACCCCTACCCTAAACCTACCCACTTCTGAACAATATAAAACACATAACAGGCAAATATAAGTGTAGTCACAGGTTTTTATTGCAAACACCTACCATAAAAAGCAGTATAAAAGTATTACAAACAAGTCGTGTTGCATTCCAAGTCTTCTGAAGCCATACGTTATCTTTATGTGAAGAAGAGAGTAAAACATAAAGTTTTAATCCCTGAAAATGATCCCATTCCCTTAAAGCGCTCACATCGCATTCAAAAAGATACTTCCATATTTTAGCATGACGCAATCGGTCACGAGACACACAAAAGCCAATTGCATTTCACAACCAAGGCTGATGTAAGGCTTCTTCTGGCGGCATTTTTTGAATTTGCCGCACAGACTGCAGCACACAAGATGAGCTTTACGGCAGACGGAGACGGCGATCGCATCTATTCCTCTCACAAATCAATTGTTTTGCCTTGGAAGACTTGGAATATTAATACTTTCTGAATAAATTATGACTGTAGTTGTATCTGCCTGTTATATCCTGTGTTTTATTGACAAATGGTAGGTTTAGGAGAAGGGGTTGGTTGGGTTACGTGCTTATAAATGTGTAAATACTGTAATACAAATAAAACAGTTGTGACTGTTAGTGTTTACATTGAAAAATCACACCCCAGCATATATGCAATAATGTCAATATTATTACCCAATATATAATTTAATCATGATGATAAAATTCCCAATGCCTTTCGTGTCGGCATATTGACGCCAAGGGTTTCTTATTTAAAGCAATGGAGGACCCTGCATGTCGAAAAATTACGCTAAAGGGGTACCCTGTGGATCAAAAAGTGACACGAAGGTGTCCTGACCAAGCGCCAATATGTGACGAGTTGGGAGTGAGAATGTGTTGACAAAACATCTTTCCAAAGACTTTCAGTGGACAAAAACTCCATAAAACATTAAGTAGTGAGTTTTAAAAAAAGACGTGATCTAGGACCTTTATACAGTTCATGCCAATGTAAAGACTGAAAGTCTGTCCCTCACAATCTCATTTCCATCCACCCTAAATTCAATATGGTGTTCACCTGTGCATTTGTGTCATTGTCTGAGTGAATGTATTTGTATGTCTGTGTTCAGCAACACTACGGACGGATCCTTAGTCAGTTCCGGACCATGTACACCATTGGATATTCCCTGTCTCTTGCGGCGCTGGTGCTGGCGCTGGGCATCCTGGTGGCCTTTAGGTAACATTCAAGCCAACTGGGAATTTATTCCTTCTGCTTACATTTTAAATTGAAAACATGTTTAGCATCAGTTTTTGGATCTTTGGTTGTGTCTGTGGTTAAGGAGTTGGGCTTCTTTGTGTGAACGGTGTGATGCCTTTGGATTTTTATTCATTGCACTCTGATCCCCACAGGAAGCTGCACTGCATGAGAAACAACATCCACATGAACTTGTTTGCCTCCTTCATCCTGCGAGCCTCTTCTATTCTCATCAAAGATGCCATGTTGGAAAGGCCTGATGACTTCCATGTTGGTCAGGACATCACCAATGAACTGGAGGTGGAGTGGCTGGTTAAAAACGAGGTCCAATAACCTGCTGTCTTTCTTTGTTATTATTGTTATTAAAAGATGATAATATACTGTACTACCATTCAAAAGTCAGCAACCCGTTTTAGTCCATGTTCCTTTAAATGCTAATGAGCTCTGCTGGCCCCGCCCCTCTCTTCCGTGGGGTGACGAGCCGTTCTCATGCGACTGTTTACTTTAGCCGCGGAACTTTCTAACTAGCACGTTATTAGGAAAGGCGATTTGCAAAGATTCATAAAAGAACCTTATACTCACTTCTTCTGGAGGTGAAGCTGGATCACGAATGATTTGCACGAATATAAACGCATTTAGGTAGATCGGGGATCGGCGCATTCCCTTCAAAAACAAATGTAATCCACTGTGTCTTCAGTGGCTCAGATGTCGGGAGTAAATTATGACTGCTATGTTCATTATTACGTCCAACAACAAAACACCTCAATCGCTTAGGAGACATTGTTGTCTCCATCTGCTCCGGCGGTGAAACAATGGCGGACTGAAGACAGCTCACTCAGGGCGGGTCTGAGGAAAACGCCAGTGTCGATCAAACAATCATGGGAGGGGCCTGGGTCTGTGTGACATCATACACCCAAAGAAGCTGAGAACAGTTTGATTTGAGAAAGGGAATATTATTTATAGAGATAAAAAAAAAACACTGAGTGGATTTTTATTATTATAGGGTGGATGTGTACAAACACTGCCAACACACATTTATGTTCAATCAACATGTAAAAGTGAATTTAGCATCCGATGACCCCTTTAAATTTTCTCCAATAATTTTTTCACCTCCTATAAATGCATATGCAACAAAGATAGCCACAAAAATAACTGACCTTTTCATTGCTAATTTTTCACCATGTGTCTGTAATAAACCCTGACATTAGTTTAATGCCAAAAGAGGGTTTGCACTGGTGAAAGCTGTTAGTAAATCAGGCCTTTAATGCTACAAACATTTTTACGGAAGTTTTCATTAAAAGTTTTTTAATAACAACAAAAAATGACTTTCTTCTTCAAACTTTTTATGCTAATATGCTGCCCATAAACCTTACAGTATGTTGTAAATGGCCAGGAGTATTCCTTAAAATGCATGTTAGTATAGATTAAGTTAAGTACCTATTTACTGTGCAAATAAATCTGAATGGAGGCGGCAGGTTAAAATTTAGCCGAAAGCTTTCAGTGACCCCAAAATCAACGTGTGCGTTTCAGACGGCGGTCGGCTGCAGGGTTGCAATGGTGATGATGCAATACAGCATACTGGCCAACAACTACTGGCTGCTAGTGGAGGGCATCTACCTGCACAGCCTTCTGGTCGTCACAGTCTTGATGGAGAGGAATTACTTCGCCATCTACCAGTGTATCGGCTGGGGTGAGAGGTTCAGAGCTTTTACACCGTGAACTCCATTAACAGGGTTTAAGAGCTTCCTCATACATAGCATGTCCAAACAGAGTGTGGCAGATGGTTTATGCCTCGTGTCACAAGGTCTCTCTTTCTCTTTCTCCCTCAGGTGCCCCTCTGATATTCGTGTTGCCGTGGGTGATTGTGAAGTACTTGTACGAGAATGAAGAGTAAGTTCTGGAGCCACGTGGGATGAGTGTGTTTGCGACTGATGAAAGCCAGCGCTCGTCAAACAGGCAGTGTGTTTTTTTGTGGCTGGAGAGTTGGCCGACATCAGTACTCTGTCACTGTAGCTTTTGTTTTATAACAAATCAAATACATAAATTGTGGACACAAGCTACCCAGATACTATGTCAAATGCTGTGATGCTAGGCAGATTTTCAGTCTCTCTATGATAAACGAGTATTTAGCATTTTTATATATCTTCAACATCCACTCCAGTCTTTCGATTTTGCTTGTAGCAGCCAACATATCACATTGTGCGTGTAAAATCTCATAAGTCTTTCACACAGTCACTGTTATTGTTGGAAGGGCTTTCAAGATGTAAATTTATTTTAATGACCCTTTGGGAGTGCTGAGGTTACATATTTAATAAGATCTATTTCATCCATATTTCAAAACCTGACTGCTGCGCACATTTTCCATAAGTTAGTCTGCTATACATCAGATGTATTGTAAGTAGCGCATTCGTAATAAATTATGTGAAGAGAAAAAATTAGTATCTTAAATGTAAAATGGAGTTTCCATATGGTATTTATTAAACATGGCTTTTTCTACTGTACAGTGCAGTGAAGAGGTTTTTGCCCCCTTCCTGTTTTTTATTTATTTTTTGCATATTTGTCACACTTAAAAGATTCAGATCATCAAACAAATTTTAATATTACACAAAGATAATGCAAGTAAATACAAAAAGCAGGTTTTTAAATGATGATTTCATTTATTAAGGGAAAAAAGCTGTCCAAACCTACCTGGCCCCACGTGAAAAATTAATTGCCCCCTCCTGTTAAATCATGAAAGAACTGTGATTAACCACATTATTTTAGAAAGCTGAGTTAAATTTTACTAGCCACACCCAGGCCTGATTACTGCCAGACCTGTTGAATCAAGAAATCACTTAAATAGAACCTGTCTGACAAAGTGAAGCATGCTTAAAGAGCAACACATCATGCCGCAATCTAAAGAAATTCAAGAACAGATGAGAAACAAAATAGTTGACATGTATCAGTCTGGAAAGGGTTATAAAGCCATTTCTAAGGCTTTGGGACTTCAGCGAACCACGGTCAGAGCCATTATCCACAAATGGAGAAAACTTGGAACAGTGGTGAACCTTCCCAGGAGTGGCTGGCCTACCAAAATTACTGCAAGAGCACAATGACAACTCCTCCAGGAGGTTATAAAGGAACCCAGAACAACATCTAAAGAACTGCAGGCCTCACTTGCCTCAATTAAGGTCAGTGTTCATGATTCAACAATAAGAAAGAGACTGGGCAAAAACGGCATCCATGGGGGAGTTCCAAGGCGAAAGCCATTGCTGACCAAAAAGAACACAAAGGCTCGTCTCGCATTTGCCAAAATATATCTTGATTATCCCCAAGACTTGTGGGCAAATATTCTGTGGACCGATGAGACAAAAGTTTAACTTTTTGGAAGGTGTGTGTCCCGTTACATCTGACGTAAAACCAACACAGCATTTCATAAAAAGAACATCATACCAACAGTCAAACATGGTGGTGGTAGTGTCATGGTCTGGGGCTGCTTTGCAGCTTCAGGACCTGGACAACTTAAATAATTTGCAGTTGTTGCTGCAAAGGGTGGCACAACCAGTTATTAGATTTATACAATTTGTTTGATGATCTGAATCATTCAAGTGTGACAAATATGCCAAAAAAAAAAAACAGGAAGGTGGCAAAAACTTTTTCACACCACTGTATATATACTCTATAGACATATTTTGTGTAGATGTCACAGTTATGTCACTCGTAGCTGCGCGCGCATTGTGGTGGCAGAAAAATACTGGTAACAAGTGGAGTGAAACAGGAAAAATCCACAGAATAAGAGATAAAATGTATTGTTGTGCCTTTGGATGTCAGAATCGGAATGCAAGTTAGACGTCACAGTTACGTCACTTGCAGCTGCACGCGCATAGCGGTGGCAGAAAAACACTGCAACAAGTGGAGGGAAATCGGTAAAATCCATGGAATAAGAGAAAAATTTATTTTTGTGCCTTTGGATGTCAGAATTGGAATGCAAATCATTTTTATAGAATTCTGTCGTCAAAAACACCATTTGAAGCTAAACGCAGATGTTTAAACGTACAGACTAATGAATGAAACCTGCTATGATTACTGTGCTTTTAAAGCATAAATTTGATTAAAAAATTGGTCTATACATAATATTCATATATGCGGTTCATAGGGAACATATTATATTAGCCCTACAGTTACAGCATGAAATACAATTTAAACCTAAAATCTATAGACCAATTTCGTGTAGATGTCACAGTTATGTCACTCGTAGCTGCGCGCGCATTGTGGTGGCAGAAAAATACTGGTAACAAGTGGAGTGAAACAGGAAAAATCCACAGAATAAGAGATAAAATGTATTGTTGTGCCTTTGGATGTCAGAATCGTAGTGCAAATCATTTTTATATAACACTGTCGTCAAAGACAGCATTTGAAGCTAAACGCAGACGTTTAATCGGACGGACTACGGATGAAAGCTGCTATGATTTCCCTACTTTTAAGGCATCATAATCATAAGCTTCATAATATTCACATATGCAGTTCATAGGGAACATATTATATTAGCCCTACAGTTACAGCATGAAATACTATTTAAACCTATAACATTTTACATTTACCTATTTTGTCTCACAATTCTGACTTTTTTTCTCGCAAATGCAACTTTATATCTCATATTTCGGACTTTATAACTCGATTTAACTCAACAATAGCGAGTTTGTCCATTTGGAGGGAAAAAAAGCCAGATATAAACTCAAAAAAGAGAATGACGTGTTGATTTTTCTTATCAGAATTGTGAGATATAATCTCGGAATTGCGAGAATAAAGACAGA